TCTCTCTCTCTCTCTCCTCCCCCCCCCCCCCGCGTTCTTGTACGGCTACGCGAACTTCGCACGTACTCTATTGACTTCTCCTTCTATCCACTTCTTCCACTATTCTCCTTTTGTTTCTTTCTGTCTATCTTTTGATTCGAAACTGCCGACACACACACACACACATCTACGTGTATCGTAAACGGTGGGCGTGTCAACTCCCACAACCTTCGTGCTTCAAATTCTGACGCACTTCATTTTTTTGTCCTTTCGAGCTCAACTATCAATTCCTGTCTTCACGTGTTCTCCTGACTTCTGTGTACTGGCTGTTGACCTCTCTCCCTCCCCCTTCTCTCTCCCTATCCTCTGTCCGCCTTCACCTCCTTTGTTCTTCCCTTACCTGCACCAACGTTGCATTCGACGTTAACCACACACACAGTCGACAGAAGCTTGTTTTTTCCTTTTCCGTTTTTCGCTTCCTATACACTCAGCCACATCTTTTCTAAAAGGAAAAAGAGAGAAAAAGAGAAGACAAAAAAGTATATATATATATACACCGGTGACTCGAGCACGGAGTGCAGACGGCGAGACCAATTTTTTGCTGTTGTGTTTTTCTTCGCACCAAACCTTTTACGCAGCTGCGGTCTGCGCGTCCACGTGTGTGTGTGTCTCGCCTCTTTGAATCGCCCCCCCCCCCTCCCCCCGTCCATCATCTCGTGCTACGGCTCACCACTGCTACGGTGTGCTTTAGCCTTCTCCCACCATCTACGGCGAGTTCTCCAGCGCACACGCACGCAACAGCTGAGAAAGCAAAAACAAACAACAACAAAAAAGCAAAGCGCAAGTTTTTTTTTTCTCTCTTCTTCTTCTTTCTGCAGTACATATCTTCGCTATACACCTTTGGTTTGGTTTGTGTCTGTGTTTGTGTTTTGAGCAGGATCCATCTCTCGCGTATTCCGTGGTATTCGTCGTTGCAACTACAGCGGCCTGCGTAAGGCGTCTCTCACCTCGTTGACCCACGTTTTTTCCCCCTCTTCCTGTGTGCCTTCTTGTTGAGCCATTTCCCTGTATTGGTTTTTGGTTTTCATTTATTATTCCTGTTTGTTTCTTGACGAACCGCTGTACGAACTACGATCTTCATTTCTTGTTCTTCTCTTCTCTTCTTTCTCTTTTCGCTAATATATTTACCTTTTCATTTCCTTTCTATTTTACTTCTCATTAAATATATATTTTTCTTTTTGCCACAACAACAACATCGCATAAGTGTCGACCGCCGCCGTAACGGACGAGACAACACCAACGCACATCGTCGCATCGCTCCTTCTCGTGTTCATTTTCTCTTTTGTTTTTTGTTTTCTGTGCTTGCTGAACGCGGACACTTCGGGTCTGCTTTTCGCCCGGTCACCCTCCTCCCCAGGCGTCCACCCCGTTCCACCTTCCCTCATCCATTCGTAGAAACAAACCCGCACACGCCCGCACCCGCCCGCGCCCGGCCCCCTCCCACACACACGCACGCACGCACCGCGACTCCACCATGGCCGATGCCCAGTTCGTCAATCCCCGCCTGAGCGCCAGGGGCGCCAACCCGGTCACGGAGTACGAAGAGGCGTACCAATGGCGTGGCCTCCCGCCTCGGCCCGACACGCTGGACGACAACAGCCAGGAAGAAAACAGAACCCCGGTAGACCCGAACATGTACAACACGACGAACAACGAGACA